AGTGCAGTTTGTAACTCTAAAAATATTAAACTCTATAAATCTTCTTTGACCAGAATGGAATAAAACTAGTAATCAACAAGAAGGGGAGCTATGGGCCATGTCCAAACATGGAAAGCAAGTGACATGCTCCTGAAAATTCATGGACCAATAACAATTTAGAAAGAGAAATTAAAGTTTGTTCAAAAAATGGAAATAAAACATACGAAAATCTATACGATACAGTAAAACAGTACTAAGAAATCTAAAGCAGTAAGTGCCTGTATCAAAAACACAATCTGACATTGCAACTGAAGGACCTAGAATAACAGAAACAAACTAACTTCAACATTATTAGAGATAAATAAATGATAAACATCAGAGCACATATAAATAAAAATAAGACTTAAAATACTGAAGATTAATGAAGCAGTATACTGCTTTTTTAAAATGATAAGCAAAAGCATTGCAAGAGAGGGAGAGAGAATATAAATATAATTAGAGACCAAAAGGAAACATTATAACAGACACTGCAGAAATGCAAATAATTTGCTGGAGATGTAGCACAGTGGTGCCTGCCTGGCAAGCACAAGGTCCTGAGTTCCACCCCTGGTACTGGAAGAAAACAAAAACTAGACAAAAAACAGAAATGCAAATAATTATTAGGTACTATCATAAAAAGTGCAAACCAACAAATTGGAAAATCTAAAAGAAATGGATAAATCCCTGGACATAATAACCTACTAAAATTGAGCCATGAGGATACAGAAGACCCAAATAGACCAATAACAAGTAATAATATTAAATCAGTAATTAAAATTTTACCTAAAAAAAAATCTCAGGACTAGATGGTTTCACTGTTGACGTTACCAAATATTGAAGCACTAACACCAATGCTTCCCAAACTTTTAAAAAAAATGAAAAGGAAATTAATTCCCTAAGGCAATCACAATCCACAGGCCTAAAACTAGAAAAGAACACAACAACGAAAAGGAAAACTATAGATCAATATCATGACCATAGATGAGGAAATCCTCAACAAACTACTACCAAATGGAATCCAACAATACAGAAAAAAGTTCATTCACCATGATCAAGTGGAATTTATTCCAGCGATGTGAGGAGGGTTTGGTATACATAAATCAATAAATGTTATTACATCACATCAACAGAATGAAGCACAAAAACTATATGATCATCTCAACAGATGCAGAAGATACATTAAAGAATTCAACTTCCTATTGTGATAAAAAAATAACTCTGAAGAAATTAAAGAAGAATTGTATCTCAGCATAAGAAAGAGTGTATATGGCAGTCCCACAGCCAGAATGACACTGAATGTGCAAAAGCTGAAATCATTTCCTCCAAGAACAGCAGCAGGAAAGGGATGTCTACTTTCAGGGCTCTTACTCCACAGAGTATGGGAAGACTTAGAGCAATAAAGAAAGAGAAAAAAGTAAAAATACCTAAATAGGAAAGAAATTCAAATTAACTCTTTGGAGGCATGATTTTATATATTGCAAAATCATAAGACCCTTTCCCCCCCAAAAATGTTAGAACTAACAAATTCAGTAATGTTTCATCAACACACAAAAGCAATAAATAGTTGTAGCTTTTAACATAGTAATAATGGATCTCTGAAAAAGCCATAAAAAGCAATCCCATTCACTATAGCGACAATAAAATAAAGTAAAATAAAATAAAATCCTAGAAATAATTTGAACCAAGGAAATAAGTGATCATAATGGAAATTACAATACATTGATGAGTGGAATTGAAGTAGAGAGTAGAATAACAGTTGCCAGAGGCTAGGAAGGGTTGGGGGAATGAGAGGTGAATGGAGAGGAGAGGATTAATGGGTACAAGGGTAAAGTTGTATAGGAGGAATAGCTTCTAATATTTTACAGCATAGTAAAACAATTGTGATTAAGAACAATTAATTGTATATTTAAAAATAAATAGCAAAGAAGACTTTGAATATACCCCCAAAATGATAAATATTTAAGGTGATGAATTACTTTAATCTCATTACATATTATATAAATGTACTAAAATATCGTACTATACTACATCAATATGTAGTTATTGTTAGTCAAAAATAAACATTGTAGAGATAAGAGGACACTGTAAGAAAACTATAAATCTATTATCTCTTATGTGTGTAGATGCCAAAATACTGAACACAATTTTAGTAAATCATATTTAATCATAATTAAGCAGGATTTAACACAGAAATGCAAGATTGGTTTAATATTTAAAAATCAACTGGTGTATTACATCATACTAACTAAAATTTAAAAAATATTAAATTCTCCTGGAGATGGCACAAAAAGAGATCATTTGACAAAATGTCACATTAAGTTTTTACAAACTAAGGAATGAAAGAAAAGTAACTCTGTTAAAGGACACTACAAATTCCTACAGCTAACATACTTAAAATTATTATGATCTGCATGTTTTTGTTCCCCCAGAATTCATATTTTGAATACTTAAGCCCTGTGTGATGATTTTAGGTGCACCATTTGGGAAATAATATGAAATTAGTCTCCTTACCAGAACAGACAGAGGCCAGCTATGTATCTTTACTTACGTGAAGATTCAGTGAGATTGTGGAGACCCATTTCCAGGAAGAGAGCTTTCACTAAATGGAATCTCCTTGCTGATACCTTAATGTTTGACTTCCAAGTCCCAGAAATGTCAACAATAAAGGTCTGTTGTTGAAGCACCCAGCCCATGGTATTTTGTAACAGCAGGCTGAGTGTACTAAGAGAAAGGAACACTGATCAAAAACAATACAAGCATGTTTGCTTTCAATACTTCTGTTCTAATCGTCTACTGGAGGTTTTATTCATTACAACAATGGGAGAAAAAAGAAAGACAGACATCCAGGTTGAATAAGAGGCATTCTGAGTGAAGGCTATTGAGTAAAGCTCTTTATTTGAAGGCAATGTGATTATGTAGAAAAATTTAAAAATCCACCAGACTAATACAACAAGTTTATCAAGATTGCAGGATACAAAATTAACACACAAGAATCTATGATGTTCTGGGACTGTGAGTATAGGTCAGCAGTAGAGCACTTGTGTAGCATGTACAAGGCTCTGAGTTCAGTCCACAGAACAGAAAAAAATACTATATTCTATATACTACCTACAAACAAGCAGAAATTAATTTATAATATCACACCATTAGCTCTAGTATGAGGAAGAAGTACTGTAGAAGATCAATATAAAAGAATTTATTTTCATATACTATTTAAAAACAACCAGAAAATGATATTAGAAAAATAATATTAGCAATACTATTAAGAAAAATACTTAGGCTAAGGCTGATAAAATATGTAAATGACTTATTGTAATATATATAATGTATATATAATATATATAATATTTATTATATATATAACAAAACATTGGTGAGAGAAATTAAATACCTACATTTGTAAATGAAGAGATAGCCCCTGTTCATGGGTTGGAAGATGTGAATCCTTCCCAAATTGCTACATGTATTCAGTGTAATTATAATAAAACACTCAACAAGCTTTCTCTTTAGATATTGGCAAAATAACTTTCAGATTGATACACAAAAGATACAGGGCTAGGGATTTAGCTCAGTGGTGCGGCACCTGCCTTGCAAGCACAAGGTCCTGAGTTCGTTCCCTGGTACCAAAAAAACAAACAAACAAAACAAAAGATCTATAAAAGCCAAGAATAATCTTAAAGAATACCAAGAGTGGAGGACTAACACTACCTACTTTCAAGACTTACAGAGCTATAGTAGTCTAGAGTGATAAATCAGTAGTTCAGAATAGTGAGTTCAAAGAAATAGACCTGCATATGAATATTGAAGATTGATTTTTGACAGAGTGCATACAATGTAGTGGAGAACATATAGCTATTTTAATAAATGACGCTGGAACAATTGGATATCAGTATGCAAAAAATAAACTTCAATCTACATATTATGCCATATAAATAATTAACTGAAGATGAACTATTGATGTAAATGTGAGATATAATATTCCAAGAACATAAGGGAAAATCTTTTTCACCTTGGATTCAGCAAACATTTCTTATAAATGACACCTAACACATAACACAGAAAGACATAAATTTACACATTGGATTTCATCAAAGTTAAGATCTTATGCTTTTTGAAAGACTTTTTTATGATATGAATAAAGCAAGGCATTGACTGCAAAAAACACATGTGACTATCCTACATCTAACAAAGGACTTCTTTCCAGAATATGTAAGGTGCTCTGAATTCTTAGTAATAAGAAAATAAACAATTCAGCAAAAAATTTGAACTGAGATTTAATCAATCAAAAATATGTACAATAGAAATATAATCAATATCATCAGTCACTAAGAATATTTGTATTAAAAAGCACTGGATGAAACTACTTACTCCCGTTAGAGTGTCTAACATTAACAAAAGACCACATCAAGTGTTGGAGAGAAACGTGGAAAACAACTGAAGCTCTTATACATTGCTGAGGGGAATGGAAAATAGTACAACCACTTTGGAAAGCTGACAGTTTCTTATAAAATTCAATAAACATCTCCTGAATATTTACCCAAGAGTTATGGAATCATATGACCATAAAAAATCAAATGAAAGCCATTTGTATGACAGAAGCCAAGGAAAGAATATATACGGTATGGTTCCATTTCATAAAATGTTAGGAATTTCAAACTAATTAATAGTGACAAGAAAGAAATCAATGAAACCAGAGTGGAGGAATTATAAAGGGGTATCAGGAATTCTGGGGGAGTGATGAGTATTTTTTAATCAGACTGGTGACAATTTCATAAATCTATACATGTAACACATGTATAAAGGGTCCCATGGCATACACTAAAAAGTACATTTTATTGTACATTATAGATAGTTCAGTAAACTGTTATTTCAGTAATCATGCTTACCAGTACCATTAATCATCTCTTTGATATGTTGATTTATATATTAATATTATAAAGCAATGGTATGGCAATTCCTCACATATTCAATCATTTTTACAGAACAGGTCAGCTGGGAAACCTCACAGCCCCTTGCAACAGTCAGTGTGAATGCTCAACTTCTCTGTATTCCTCTGTGTGTGGAAGGGATAACATTGAATATTTTTCTCCATGCTTTGCAGGCTGTATAATTTCTAAAACCATAAAAAATCAAAAGGTAATTATGTCTTTGTTATCCTTCCTCTTCATTAACATGTTCACCTTGTAGATGGTGTTTATATTTTACTCCTGGCTCTCTATAAAATTTTTCTTTCTTGTTTTTAATTTTCAAAACGAGGAAAGAAATTTTGTTTTATGTTTCCATTATACAAAAGGCTCATGGGAATTGGGAATAGGAGAGATACTCCTACATTCCTTACATTTTTCTCAATTTTATGCTTTTAAAGTAGTGAGTCAGTATCATTTATCTCCGACAACAGCAAAGTTGAAACAATCCAAGAGAACGAATTCTCCTCCACTTCTGTTGTTTGTCTTAGTTTCTGTGCTACTTCTCAGTGGCATCAGTTGCCCAGAATCTTGAACAGCATCCTTCCCAACCCAAGGTGTTGACCAGTGCTACTGTGTTGGTCACATTTCACTTACTTTTTTCTCTTGTTGAGGAATTCAAAATGTCTACTCTAGGTTCTTGCTATCTTCTGTTTTTGCCCCACATTAGCTCAGGTATAGAAATCAGTTGTTTTATTGAGTATCAGAAATCACCACAAGCCTTTTATAAAGCATCAGGTATTCCAGAATAGTAAGAGTTAGAGAAAATTCATGAAACACGAGTGGGGCTGCTGTCAGACTCTGCTCTCTTCCTGTCAGGATCCATTCTCACTATCCACGAGGTTCATCTCACCCAAAACAGCAAGGAATACAAGAAACAGGCCTTCAAGATGTCTTTCAGTTGAAATATTGTTACATTTGACTTTACTTACCTTTTTAGTATTTTAGTCATATATTTTATTGATTCATATATTTAAGTAGCATATTAATTATTTCTTTACATAGTCAATATTCACTTATGATTACTCTTTTTCTTTTATTTCCATGCTTTCATATGGTGTGTCAGTTTTCTGTCACTGTAAAAAAAAAATTGCCTGAGAAAAATAACTTAAAAAGAAAAAATATGTATTTTGGCTCTCAGTTTCAGAGATTTCAGTCTGTAGTTGCTTTGTTTCATTGTTTCTTGGCCCGTAGTTGGACATAGTCCAAAGAGGGGCGAGGGCATGGTGGAGCAAAACTACTTGCTTCATAGCAGCCAGGATGCAGAGAGGAGAGACAAGGAGAAGAGGTGGAGACAAAAGGGTACCCTTTGTGGAAGGTGTGCCCGAGGAGGAACCTACTTCCTCCAGTTAGGCCCTAAGTCCTAAAGCCCCTTTAGCTATGAATCCTTCAATGGATGAATCACTGACAGATTAGAGCCTTCCCATCCACCTTCTTCCAAAGGCCTCATCTCTAACCACTACGTCACTGGGGACGGGACCAAGGCTTCAACACGTGAGCCTGTGGGCTGTGTTCAAAGATCTGACTATAATATGTGGGACTATTTTCTTTCTAGTTGAACAATTTTATTTTTCCTCCATTTCTGAAAAACCTTCACTGGAAATGGGACACTAGACTGGTAGTTATTTTTCATCAAGCATTTAAAACCTATCAATATATTGTCTTTTGCCTGTGGATTCTCTTGGGATTTTTCTCTTTATTTTTGGCTTTCAGGAGTTTTCTTTGTTGAGTTTACATTTATTATTTTTGATTTATTTACATTGCTTTGGTTTCACAGAATATCTAGATTCTGGTTTATTGTCTATCAGCTCAGAATTCTCAGCTATTGGCCTTTCTCTGTATATTTCTCATGTTCTTTGTGGGACCATTTGTTAGTTTACTATTTGTACATAATGAATTACTACAACCTTCGTGGCTGGCTTTAAATAACATCTAGTTATTTTCTTGAGGTTCAAGTCAAAAATCCAGACATACCATGACTGAGGCTGTGGGACAGCATTCACATCTAAATGTATTCATTCACTTTATTGGACAAATCCAGTTCCTTTGGGTTGAAAAAATAGGAAGTCTGTGTTTCTTTACTAACTCTCTGCTGGGGCTAGTTTTAACTTTAAAAGGCCACTCACATACTTTCACAAATGACTTCCCTCAGCTTCAAGGTTAGAAACAAAGGATCTCCCTTATTTGCCATGCTTGGAATTTTTGATTTAAGGATGAGCCTGGGACATTTTGAGACTCACCTAATCAGGTGATGTTTGTTTAAGATAATTTCTCTTTATTTGAGTCACCTGTGCCATATGACATACCTTAGCAACAGGACTAAATTTCACCAATTCCCAGTCCTAGGGATTATACAGCTATCTACAATGGAGGGAACTTGGGTGTTCTCTTAGAATTCTGCCTAACACAAGCTACAAAATAGATTTTTCTGGACTATCTCACACTCTTTTAATGTTTTCTATAGTTTTCATTTCTTCTTATTTGTTTAAGTGGTTTAAATGCCAATAACTTCTGCTAATCCATCTAACAGTTATGAATCCTTTATGTTCTGGCACCTGCTCAACTCTTAAAACTGTTTCTGAATTTTTTTTTTTTTTTTGAGAGGTCTCACTGTATAGTTCGGGCTGGTCTCGAAGTCACTACGTAGCCCAGGTTGGCCTCAAACTCATGGCAATTCTCCTTTCTCTGCTTCCTGAGTGATGGGATTATAGGCCTGTGCCATGATGCCCAGCTATTTCTGACATTTAAATTCATTTTTAATTTTCTAATTCTAGCATTTATGTTTCTGTAGAATCCAAATCTCTGATGAAATTCTAGATTATTTAAGCTGTTTTATTCATGTTTTCCTTGTATTTTTTCTAAAACATAATCTTAGTTATTTTTTTGCTACTAATTCCAATAACTATATCACCCAAAACTACTTATACTACTGGTTTATATTTTAAGTTTAAGCCAAGAAATTATGAATACTGTGGGTGAAAAAGATTGCTTAATATAACTGCATATTAGATAGCTGACTCTAATTTTCTTTGAAGACTGTTTCCATGGTATCTTATTTCTCTTCTTTATTTCCCCTGTATTAGTGTCTTTATACTTAGTGTCCTCTGGTACTAGCATACAGTTGGTTTTGTGTTTTCTCCATTTCTGTTCATGTATCTTTTACAGTAGTTTTTAGACCAATAACATTTAATATAATAGTTGATATGTTTTGATTTATATCTATCTTCTTTTTTACTATTGGAGTTGAATATAGTTTACTATTTCATGTCAATGACATTTTGCTTATATACCTTTAATTTTTTAATTGATGCTCTGGTTTTTTGAGACCATTAGGACTAATCATATTATGATCATTTTACTTCTATGTAATAAGCATCACCAGAGGCTCAGGAATTTCAGGCCATTCCTCATCACTGTATGGTTCTGATTTTGTGTATTCCCTTATTTGATCTCATCTTCCACCCATCCTCAACATCATGAATCTTCCTACCCTGTCCTCTGGAAATAAAAAATATGTATCAGCAAAAACGGCCACATTCTTTTCTAAAACTCCTCTTTACATTTTTGCTCTGACTTATGCTTACATCGTTCCTATTTTGGTAGCTTTAAACAGTAGATGACTATCTTTCTCTCCCACTTGCTCATACCATTTAGTCACAAAAGAGGTGAATGTCCCCCTGATTCCTCTTTGATACTTTCAGGCGACTTTTTCTATTTTCTCCCAAACTTTGGAATTCATCATGAGGGTCTTTCTAATTCTAACTCTGTAATTTCTTTACTACTTCTTTCCCAATAGTCTTGTTTGTTCTCTGTTACATCCAGTGTCCTCCCCTCGGCAGATCCTAGGCCCTTTTTTTTTAGTATCTTTACCCCTTCCACGATTTCAGTTTCAATTATTCACAGCTTCCTTTCTTTTGGCTCTCTCTCTCTTTTTAGTACATGACTCATTTCTTCAAAGGTGCGAGAGCCTTATCTCTTGTGATTCCACCATGGGATCACCTTCTGCTCTTAGCTTAGTTTCCACGGCCTGCAGTCAGCCTCTGTGCTAAGTACCTGTTGTCTGGCCTACAGACCCAGCCGTCGCCTTTCTCTGCCTCCTCATGGAGTTGGAATTATAGGATGAGAGCCCCATTACTCTCTGGTTTCTGCCTGGACTGAGATAAAAGGAGTTGTCAAAGAAATTCAGAAAGACAGGAAAAGTGAGATCGCGCCGTTATTCTTCGGTTCCTTCCCCGAGCTGTGTTCTGACTGCCTCTCTGGACTCGAGGTTTTCATTTATCTGGGGGAGGCCCTCACCATGTGACTTTCTCCTTTTGGATACAGTACCCACTCTAAGGCTCTCAGCAAATCCTTTCAAATTTACTTTCTAAATTAATGCTGCTTCTGGTAATTTTCATTATTTTCTTTTATAGCACCTGGCTGCTGGCACCACTGTGTTACACTGCACCTTCTTTTAATAGCTTATGAACTATTTGTTGCCTTCATAGCCCAGGAGTCTCATAGCAGCCAGAGGATATTTTAAAATATTTCATTTATACTTATCCCTTTGATGGCTTCTGGTAAGAAAAAAGACCAAAGTTCTTAAACTCTGCTTTCAGTTCCATACCACTTTCTTTCTTTCTTTCTTTCTTTCTTTTTTTCTTTTTTTTGGTACCGGGGATCAAACTTGGGTCCTTGTGCCTGCACAGCAGGCGGAGAAACCACTGAGCTAAATCTCTGGCCCCCTTATCACTTTCTGTATAACTTTTCTCCTACCACCTCCCTTTTTTCTTTGTCATAGTCTTCTTCATCTACACACTTCTCAGGCCCACGCTGTTTGCTCTTCTTTGAACTTGTCAAGCAGTTAATTCTGTCTTCAGTTACTTTTCTTTTTTTCCTGCAAAACCAAGTAGCTCACTCCCTTACTTTTGTCAAATGTCTCTTTAAATACCACTTCATCATTGAGACAATTCCCTGATCATGCTAATACACCCAATATGCCTTGTACTTTTTCTTTGCTTTATTTTTTCCCATAGTAATCATATGCTCCCATACAAGTTATTTCTTTTTTATTAGTTACCTTTCTCTCCAAATATAAAGGTTATACATGACACGCTGATTTCTATTGCATTGAGAAAAGGTATTGTCTCAATAACTAGAAAGATGTTTGGAACACAGGCATTCACAAATTTGGTGAGATGAATGAATTTTAATTTGAATATTTACATATACATCACATTGTATATTTGCATATGCATTTATATATGTAGATACATTTACATATGTCATTCAACCATACTGATGTGGTTTTTATACTGTAATTTTCTGAATTACTCAGATCTAAGCCTTCTTTGTTATTTTTTGTTCCTTGACTAGCAACTTTAGTATTTTTAATTTATTGATTTTTCTTCTATTTTATAATATATAATATATTCAGTGGATTAATAAATTGTTTACCAATCTCCCCATCTACAAACAATTTAGATGTTTTAAAAACCATTGATTTATTTTCCTGAAATAACCCTAAAAGAACAGAACTTCAAATTTTCGTAGGTTTCCTTTTCAGGGTCACATTGTCACTTTTTTTCATTGATTCTACACATGTTTATTTTTTGTTCTCCTTTCTTCACTTAAAATTCATCTACAAATGTGTTGTTATAAAAATAAATACCCAGGTTGAGTTTATTATTTTATATTATTTTTCTTTGTCCATATTTTTATAACGGTATTAAAATGTTTCTTTGCTTTTAAACCACTCTAAAATATTTTTATATGGCCCTAAAAGTATTTTGGGCCTCCATGCCTTTTACCTGCTGTACCTAATAACATTCTTGTCATCTTTTTTTACAAAAGAAAGTAGTATCTTCTCTATGTGGTTCCAGAATCTTTTACAGTAGTGTAGCTGCCCATATTTTAAAACCCAGATAAAATTTTATTTTATTCATTGTATTATCTTTAATTTCCCCAACTTATATAGCTGTCCAAATATTATTAAATTAAACATAAATATTTTAAGGAAATTTTCTTAAATTAGCAGGACTTTTCATAATTATAGTTAATACACACACTAATCTTTATCAAGTAAAATAACTTGGATTTATCATTAATATTTTATTTCTAAGTAATGACTGGTAGGTATGACATGAAGATATGTATTAAAGCTGGCTAAAGGCTGGAGATTTAGCTCAGTGGCACCGCGCCTGCTTTGCAAGTGCAAGGTCCTGAGTTTGATCCACAGTACCAAAAAAACAAAGCTGACAAGTCTCCCTATAGTTATTGATTTAAGTTTTATTTTATAATAAGAGCTTTCGTTTCATGAATCTATTTCTGAAACGTTATTTTCTATCTTCAATATTCATAGAAGTACTACAAATGTTCCTGTATTAAAGAAGGATTGACAACTGCTGATGTGGATGGTGATTTTATTGATGCTGTACTTGGGAAATGTGATATGAACTGCTATAAATTACCTTTGTTTTTCGCTTTTATTTTTTCTGCAATTGTTTTTACTGGCTTTTGTGGTGTACCAATTAATTTGATTATCTTCAGGTATGTGTATAGCTTTCATAATTATTATTCTTTTAATATATAAGTAAGTTAGAAATATTTTAGGTTATTATAGTAAGTTATTTTCTTTGGGCTTCATGGTAGCAAACACAGAGGATAAAATTGTACAGAGCTGCACACATACACAAAGAATTTCAATTTAAATGTTGTAAAGCCTACCTTAACTGAGAAATGAAAACAAAGTAATGTCTATAGTCTTGTTAACAATAATTTTCTAATGTCATTTGCCTGGTTTTGATATTATATTCTGGATATATAAGATTTCACCATTGGGGGCAGCTTAACGGAAGTTCCAACTTTGTAATACATCTAACCTTCTTATAAGACTAATACTTTCTAAATAAAAAGCAAAACACACACACACAGACATGCCCAAACGTATTACTAGATAAGAAGATATATATTTTTTCCTTAAGTTAATTTGTTAATTTTAATGTCATAACGAGAATAGCAAAAAATTATTAATGAAAACAACATGAATCAAATTCTTATGAAAAAATAAGAGTAACTGGGGATCTGAAATGATGAAGCAAAAAAATAGTTTTATACTTATAAGCTAAAATGTACCATAAATCTTAATGATTAAAGATAGTATTAAATTTATGAATATATTGACAGTAAGCCTAGCAATAGACCCCAAATAATATGGGACTCTAATACACAATGGAAATGAACAAAGAAATATTAAGTTGTTTTGGAAAGTGATTTTGGAATTAACTAACTAGGTTAGGAATGAAATTATAATGAAAGAGAAGATTCCTTTCACATCTTTCACATGTAACATTAGATTTCATAAATAAGTACTTGCTTTAATCAATAGAAAATGTAGAGATCTTCACTCTTTATATTCTACATGCTATTTTGTGTTTATTTTAAGCTTTTGAATAGTGAATATAATCATTCATGATCCAATAGGAAAGAGGGACCAAATTCAAATTAGGGCAATCCAAGTAAAGTAGAATGAAGTGGTTATTTAGATTGTGGGTAAGGTGTAGTAAAGGACAAAGTGTCTGATCACCTCAGGCCCGAAGGGAGCAAGGGATGGGAAGCAGAGAGATGTGTAGGGTGGATACCTTTGCAGTGTGGGAATGGAGACCTTGATCTCACTCACAGTACCCCATTATCAGAACCCAGTTAGAAGCAGAAAGCAAGGTAGCCTGCTGATGTATTCAATGCAGGTCAGCCTTCCATGGCAGAGAGCAAGTAGAAAGAAGTGGAAAGGGGAGCTCAGAGAGCAAAACGGAATCTAAAACAATGGTGTTCATGACTAATAAAGAAAGATAAGAGTGAAGGTTGGACTTAGTTATTGCAGAAATGAGAAAAGAGGCTGAGATAGGAAATTTAAGTCATGAAACTCTCCTTCTGAAGAGTAGACAGCTTTGGAATTGATTGACAACAGGCAGAAAATGAGAAAATGAGAGGAGTTGCAGCCCTTTTATAGGTCAACTGGCTAGAGATTCTTTATATAACTCATGTACAAGGAAGAGCTTTGAATCCAGAATACATTATCTATAGCTAAAAATATTATTGCTATTTGCTTCCAGGATTGTACCTGACAAACTCCATTCTCTGGCCGTGGGTATAACTTATGTGGTTATGAGACTATTTGGTAAGGAGTTTTAGCATTTTTGTTACATAAAGTTGTTCATTTTTTTCTCAAGTAAAAGTATATCTCAAATCATAAGTGAATAATAAATATAAAATGTCACAAAACAAGTGAATGCAAGAACTGCTTTGAAAATTTAAGAAGTAGTTAATGTAAAGAGAAAATACATAAGGTAATACCCATTCTGTTACACAAGCTATGTATTTATTATATTGGATTCAATGAGACAATGCATTTGATCTAATATAAGTGGTTTGGAGAGTTAATAAAAACACTTGTATAATCACTACATTTGTATATTTCTTGCACTTTTGGGAAGACCCTAAACTAGGTTGATGCTTTTGGATATTTTCATCACTGAAGACACTAAATCTGAGGTTTTCACGTATTTATTTATTAATAAGAACAACTTGGCATTTCTGGGGATAGTGTGCATTTTTCTTCAGGTTTTCTTAAATTGCAAAAATCTATATTTCAAATCCATATTATGGCTATATTAGAACCCCCCAATTCCAGAAGTTGATTAAAAATATAATGGGATAAGTAAACAAGGTTGAACTGAAAGACTGAAAGGCATATATAAGAAAAATGTAGAGAAATATGTCTGGCTTGGATGGGGACCAGAGAAATCATTCTATAGCTATATCAATATGTGTAATTAAAATTAGCTTTTATAACTAGAAAAAATTTGAACTTTGTTTTATTCAGTGCTGGGGATTGTATCCAGGGCCTTGAACACATAAGGCGAGCCCTAGAGTGCATTTTGGTGCTGGATGATGATTCACTAGATAAGGCAAGATTTGTAATGGAAGAGATAGCACTGGGAGCAGCAAGTGCACACCCAGTTTCCTAATTTAGAAAGGAAGCCAGCCAGGCTGGTGTAGTTTTGAATGGGAAAGGGTAGGCTAAGATGATAATACAGAGATAAGCTCTCTCTAGATAATGCAGAGCTTTGACACTAGAGAATTTTAAGCAGAACATAGGTATCACCTGATGTATTTAAAGATTTTCATAGGGACAAATAAATCTAGGAGGAAAATATGGGAGAAAAGTAAAGGGATACTTTTGTTGAAGTTTAAGAGTTATATTAACTTAGAATCTGAGGTTTGAGCAGAGGTAGAAATAAACATATCCAAAGATTTACGGTGGATTGAATCAGATGATGAGAAACAAAAATATAAGTAGTAGACCTATATTTTATCCCTTTCAGCAATCAAATAAAAAGTGATATCATTCACTAATGAGGAAATCTAGGTAATGGTTATTAGTAGACATCAAGATTTGTGAGGAAAGAGGACCTTAAGAAATGATTAATTTCTTAAGGAAGATGGTCAACCAGTAGAGATGTTGGTTCTGAAAACCCAGTTCTTGTGTCTTTTGGATAACTGTATCTGCCACTGCTGATTCACTTTTGAAAATGAGTTGATGTTTCCTCTGAGAGCATATGGAGTCTTCTTTCATGAATCACAGCTATTCCTTAAGGTCCAAAGCCATCTGAATCTGGATTACTATAATACAACAAAGCATATGTATTTTCAGGTGTTTTTCTCAACATCATGATCAAAGATATCATTACCAATTCATTCTTTAATCACTAAAAATTTCACAATCACATATTTTTGGAGTAGCACTGAATTTACAAAATTAGTATTTCTTTTCTGTTTACATCTAAATTTTTATGGAAAAAATCAAGTATTTTTAGACTTTTTTTTCCTAAATAACAGCATGTACTAATTCTAAAAGGTTCTAACATGTTTATATATATATAAGGATTTTTTGAAAATGCATATCATTTCCAGTGACTAAAAATACTATATAAGTAAATTAATAAATCATTAATAACTTTAGTGATATGCTTAGAGTCAAGATTCACTATATATGTTTTAGCATGAAATTATTGTGATCCTGACCAATAGTGTTTTTGTCAAAAATTGATAATCATTGAATATTGTTTTAGGGACAATTCCTGGGCCATCACTTTTTAAAATAACAGGAGAAACTTCTTGTACCTTTCGGGATATCGACAGATGTGGACACACAGGACGTTGTTGGGTCTATAACAAGACAAAAATGGCATTCATTTTGCTGGGAATATGTAAGTGATGCATATTGTAGACATTTAGAGATGTACAATTATTTTTAATACTTATGGTTCTTTATAGTAAGGTAGAATAATAATAAACTATGAACAAATAAATGCTTTCATGATTAAAGGAAATATATGGCTGTATAGAAAATATTTTAGAAAAAATAGTATACAATTTATATAAATATTTGAGTCAATGCATCAAATACATTATTTATTTATTTATTTTTTGGTACTGGGGATAGAACTTGGGTCCTTACACTTGCGCAGCAGGTGGAGAAACCACTAAGCTAAATCCCTGGCTCTTAAATACATTATAGTCTTTTGTTATTCCTGAAGAAAATCGTGGGTCTTAGCAGAGTTTCAAGTAATTCATGAAGTGATTTTATATATCTTCAAATTACTTAATCTTGTGTCCTTTTCCAGTTCTATTGTAAAATATTAAGTATATTTGAGCAAAAATATTTACACCATGAAAGAACATCAACATAATGTTGTCCTACTCAGATCTAGACTTATAAATAATTATAACTCTAGTATAAAAATTAAAGAGAAAATTACAAAAAATAACTCTGACTACAATAACTTTTAAAGGAATATGTGATGTATAAAAGATGAAAATTATGACAGCAGTAAGAAAATACAAGGAGGAAAATTAAAAAGTATTTGTGTGTGGCAAGAAATTAACTTATTATCAATTTAAAAGATCGTTGTATTTTATGTAAACCTTAGGTTAACTATAAAGAACAACATTATATAAATTTAAAAAGGAAAGAATTCAAAGCATGTTGGTGCAAAAAAACCATCAAATCACAAAGGAAGACAGCAAAGAAAGAAGAATAGAACAATTGAACTATAAATCAGAAACAATAAATTGGCAGTAGTAGGTTCTTATCTACTGAAAATTATTTTTAAAGTAAATGGGATAAATTCTCTAATTAAAAATCAGAGGAAGTGAATAAAGTTACACCTCAAAGAACGAGAAAAAGACCAAACTAAACTCCAAATTAGCAGAAGGAGGTAAAAGGCCACAGAAGACATAAAAGTAATAGAGAATAATAGAAAGACAAAAGATCGATGAAATTAAGGAAGTTTTTTTTTTCAAATATAAGCACAATGAAACTTTTAGCTAGATTAAGAAAAAGACTCAACTAAATAAAATTATAAAAGACAATGGAGACATTACAGCTGATACACTGGATATAAAAAGGACTAGATGAGTACTGTGAATAATTATATACCAACAAAGTGGACAACCTAGATATTATGGACAAATTCCTACAAAAGACAATGTAATAAGACAGCATCATGAAGAAATAAAATATATGAATATATCATTAATGAAAAAAGATACTGAATCAGTAGCTATAATGTCCCAACAAGGTAAAGCCCATGACCTAATAATTTCACTAGTGAACTGTATCAAACATTTAAATAATTCCAATCTTTCACAAACTCTCTCATAAAACTGGAGAGAAATGAGCACTTCTAACTAATTTTAACCATGATAACGAAAGTCATACAAGGACACTGTGAATAGAGAAAATAACAGGTCAATATTCCTGATGAACATACATGCAAAAATCTTCAATGAACTGACCTGAAGAGCATGTTAAAAAAGCTCATACACCATTATCAGGTGTGATTTATTCCTGGGATACCAGGATGGTTAGACATACATAATCAATTAATGTATTAGAGATTTAAGTCTAAAGATTATGTGATAGTCTCAATAGATGCATAAAAAGATATTTACAAGATTCTGCATCATTTCATGATTTAAAACTCTCAAGATATTAGGTGTAGAGAAGATATAAAGGTAATATATAACCAGCCCATAGTTAACATCATAACTGTGAAAAGCTGAAACTTTTTCTATAAAATCAGAAAAAGATGAAACTATCACCCTCCATCTCTATTCTATATCATATGGGACACTCAAGCCAGAACAATTATGCAAGGAAAACAATAAAAGTTAACCAAATTAGTAAAAGAAAAATAAATTTTCTGTTTGTAGATGACAAGATCTTACATGAGGAATATCTTGGCTGCACTAAAGATATGTTAGAATTAGTAAACAAATTCAGCAGGACATGAATGAACATACAAACTTCAGCATCATTTTATAGACCAAAAATAAACATCTCAAAAGAAATAAAGAAAACATCTAATTTACAATCGTGTCTGCATATATAGACAGTGCTAGGATTTATATATGGATTGTGTCCCCCAACGTGCTTATATGATTAGAGGCTTAGTTCCTAGAATGGTAGTTTTGAGAGGTGCTGGTGAACCTTTGAGAGGTGAGAACCAGTGGCAGATCCTTGGGTGAATGGAGTAGGAAATAGTTTCAAGAAACCACTCAGAAGTTTTCATGTAACTCCTTGGTGGTTTTCATGAGGTTTTTTGTTTTTTTTTTCATTGTGTTTCCCACTTCCTTCTGCCATTTGGACTTTCTGCCTCCAAAACTAGGAGCTAAATAAATCTCTTTGTAAGTACTGTAGCTTGTATCAAGCATTTCCTTATGGTGATGAAAAGTTGATTAATACACACAGAAATAAATTCATGTAAGGAGGAGAAATACCTGTACACTGAAACAATAAGACATTGATAAAAGAAAATGAAGGAGGCTTTAAAAATGAAGTTATATGACTTATTCATAGACTGCAAGAATTATCCATTCTAGTCAAAGTCATCTACAAAGCAATTGATTGTAAATTCATAGCTTTCTTTTGGGACTCTGTTATGTTCCATTTAGTCAATATGTCCATTTTTAAATGCAAATATCATGCTGTTTTGATTTCTATAGCTTTGTAATATATTTCAAAATCAGGTAGTGTGAGCCCCCCAGATATCTTCATTTTGCTAAATATGGCTTTGGTTATTTGAGGCCATTTGTGATCACATACAAACTTCACCATTGGTTTATTTACTTCTGTGAAAAATGTCTTTTTAATTTTAGGAATGCCATACATAAAAGCCAAAGCCATGAAGTTTCAGGTGGGAATGAGGAATCTATTGGAAAGTGGAAAAGGAGCCAAACATGTTTTATTTTGGCCAAGAATTTCTGTACATTTTACCCATGTCCTAAGACTTTGCAAGAGATTGATACTAAGGGTGGTATACTAATTAACCTGGTGAGGGAAATTTCAAAGTATCCCAGTGTTCAAGCCTTGGTATGGGTACTGCTTGCTGCATTTATCCAGACCTACAGTGAGAATCATGAGCAAAAATCGGAGCAAAATGACGTGACCGTGAAACTTGGCCAAAAAGGAAGCATCTATAAAGTTTAGGCTCTTTCACCTGGGAACCATTATTTTAAAAAGAAATTGATATTTCTTAGACAAAATCATTTAAAAAGCACAGTACAAACATTCCTATCCCAAAAAGGATAAATAAGAAAGAAAGTAGTAGCAGGATCTATGGAAGAATACAACTCAGCAGGGCAGACATTAAATCTTGAAGCTTTACATCTGGTACCTTGGGAGGACTGAGATGAGGGTTGGGTGCATAAAGCCTCATGCAGCTCCATCCCTGTGGCGTTGCTGGTCATAGGATACAAGGTTGCCCTTTTGGTGTGTTTTGCACTCTGCCCGTAACTTTCTCTGGTGGAAATGTGTATTGCCAATCACTGTGCCTTTCTAGTGTCTCCAGTACAGTTCCACTCCCCTAGCTCTACAAGCATTGCCCCATTGATGCCCTCTCTGCATAGGCTTTGATCTTGTAGAACACTCTGGTTGGCCTCCCAGATTCTCCTTTAAATTCTTGCTGGACGGTGCCAGGACCCTGTAACTCTTACATTTTGTGCATCTGCAAAACTAATACCATGTGGACAGAGGGTCTGCTACCAGCACACGCAGTGCCTGCTTTCATTTGAACCACAGGGACAGCCAGGGAGCTTTTTCCTGAAGGTAGCTGACTTTTTCTACTGTTCTCAGTTAATTTGCCTGCTACAACTATTCTCCTATTCTGAAAAGTACCACAGCTTTTTGTTTTTCATAATTTGTCAACTTTTCTTCAAAAGATCTGTAGGACCATGAGAAAGATTCTCAGTTATTTATCATTTTGTAATATTATTATGTTACAACTCCATCAGAGGTAATTATGTCTTAAAAATAGTATTCTTTAAAAATACATGGAATTTGATAATCATTACAGTGGCATGAGGGCGGATTTTGACATCTTTGTGTCAGATAATTGCTGTTGCTGCTGTACAATATTTTGTCTTAATTTAATAGAGTTATTTACATCCAAAGACCAAATAATTTTATATAATGGTAGAATATATAAACTTCCAAAACTAGAAACAAAAATTAAAGAGCAAATCTACAAAATCAATGAAATTTTCTACAATATTGCCATTAATATTTGAAAAATGATAGACGTTTCAAAGATTAAAGCTGTATGTAATGACTTAAACAGATTCTAATTCCTATCGATACTTACGATTGGAAAGTACAATTTATTTTTATGTTTCAGAATTAACATATTGTGGAGGGCTGTAAATCTGAGAAATCTAGAAGATTTCTAACATTTTTAAATCTCCTTTATCTAACTTGACATACATTTATGACATTATTATATTTTATATTTAGGGAATTTATACCTATAGAGATGTGCTATACTTTTCTTTGGTAAATGACATTCTTTACACAAATGTTTTTGTACAAAATAAATTTGCAGTATAATTATGTTTCTTAAAAATTCAGGTTCTCTTTGCAAAGTGTCCACTATCTGCTTTACTGCTATTGGATTTTACAAGTACAGCAATTTTGTAAAGGAAAAAAAAGACATCCTGCGTGATATATCTACAGAGTATAAAATCAAAAAAAGAGAAAAAGACTAATTTGTAACTGGATCTTCATTGTGTAAGAATTTCACATTTTCCACCAATTATTGAAGCATCATATTAATAGATTTTAAATAATGTAGTTGCATGTTTAACAAATGAGTGTGCTTCATACAATCTCATATATATTGTTATATTTTGGGGACAAATGTAATAATATAGTCTGTTTGAATTTTTAAAAAGATGTAAGATACACACAATATTTTCAATAGAAAATAAAGCTTTGACTGCAAGAGAAGACCGAAACGGAAACAGGAAAACATACATATGTTAATTCTGTTATAATAGTTATTGGAGTTTGACTATGTAGGATTTTAAAAAATTGTTTATTTGTGTATGTTTGCAGTACATAATGATTGTAATTCGTCATAGGGAGTTGGCACATGTACCTAACACATCTTAATTTCTTTTTCATCCTTTTTCCCTCCTCTTTCTCCCCTCACCCTCCATCATTTGAGAAAGATCTCTCTCTTTATTGACTATTATTATCTTTTATTTTACTCTTTAGTTATATTCTGGGTTTCTCATGTAAAAGAAACTATGTGATATTTAAGCTTGTCTGGTTCATTTCACTTAACATTATGGTCTCATGGTGTACCCATTTTCCAGTGAATGACTCAAGTTTATCCTGCTTTATGACAGAGTAGTACACCATCATGTATAAATGCCCCATTTTCTTTATCCAGTCATCTATTGATGGATATATAAGCCACTTCCAAGATTTAGCTCTTATGAGTTGTTCTGATACATACATGGATGTGCATGTATCATTACAGTATGATGCCTTTAACTCTTTTGAGAAAATACTAGAATGGGAACAGCTGGGTTGAATGGAATTTCTATTTTTAGTATTACAAGGAGTCTCAATACTGATTTTCACAATAACTGAACTAGTTTATATTCACATCAGCAATGTAGAAGGGTTCCTTTTCACTCTGTAGCCAGCATTTGTTATTATTTGATTTCTTGATGATACTCATTCTTTCTGGAATAAGGTAGCATTTTAGTGTTGTTTTAATTTGCATTTCTTTAATGGCGGGTGAGGTTAAACATTTTTTTCGTGTATTTATTGGCCATTTGTACTTCTGAGAAGTGTCTATTTGTTTCGGTTGCCCTTTTTTTCTCTTTTGGTACCGGGGATCAAACTCCGGTCCTTGCACTTGCGCAGCAGGCAAAACCACTGAGCTAAATTCCCGGCCCCAGTTGCCCATTTTTTGATTGGGTCTTTTCTTTTAGGAGACAACTAATCTTTGCATATTTTAGATATTGGTCTTATGTCTAAGGAATCACTGGCAAAAATCATTTTTCATTCAGAAGGTTGTCTCTTCATTCTTTTGGTTGTTTTCTCTGCTGTGCAGAAGCTTTTCATTTTGTTAGGATTCCACTGGTTGATTCTTGGGGCTATTTTCTTTTCAGAAAGTACTTGCCTATGCCTATGTCATTAAGAATTGTACCTATTTTATCATCCAGCAGATTAAGTGTTTCTGTTATAACATTTAGATCTTTGATCCATTTTGATTTTAGTGTAGTACGTAGGTTAGATAGAATATCTTTGTTATTTTTCTTTTAGATGTTGATGTTTATTTCTCAAACAACTTTTCTAAATACAGTTACATTTTCCAGTACAGTTCTTATAATGAAAATTTAAAATAATTTACCTTTATTTTCCAAAAGAAGACTATTTTAAGCTCTTAAAAAGTTAACATTTTACTTATGAATGATTTGACATGAAGAGATTTCTCCCGAAAACTTCTGTGGTCAACTGATCAGTTTGCAATGAATATTTTCCTAGTTCTTTTATTTCATTAGACATAAAATTCAGTGTGATCATGTACCTTTACATTTTTACCTTCACTTGAATTTTATCCATTAAAAAGTATCAGATAACATGAGTTAATATCCATTTTGTGCTTTTATATTTCATTTAACAATCACAACTATTTTTGTGAGGAAGTATTTACATGCGAATTCCATTTATGAGATTTTTCTTAAGTGAAAATGTGTTTCTGAACATTGTTTTGGCTATACTTTTTTTTCACAAATCATTCTATATTTATCCAAATTATACCTTTTAAATATTGGACAAAAACCTGATGGTTGTATAACGCAAACATAACATTGCATTCTACAATGTTTCCTTTTTTCCCTGGAAAAAGTAATAACTCATAAAATCTCTCCTTTTTCATTTACTTTAATCAGTGATCTTGTGCAGAAAGGTGATCTTGTAGTCATAGCTGGCAGAAGAAAATGTAAACCAGGGAACACACAACTTGCTGTATGATTTTCTTCCTTAACTTCAACGTATATTTTTGGAAATCTATAAAGTAGTCTTTATGTGAAATTCTATCTGACTGTCTCTTCTCTGAACCAGCAGGATTGCTGAGTATCTGAGGAACAGAGCCTGATAACAGACACATCTCCTTAAAAGATGCCACAAGATGTGTTGCTGTACCTTATTTTCAGAAGAGGAGAAAATCACACAATATTTACTTGTCTCAGAAAAGAATTTATGGAGATTTATATTTTCAAAATAAATTACCTTCTTATAAAGAATTTCTGACAATGTTTTTATGTGTGTAGGACCTTGGCAATAACATTTCATAATACAGGCTTTACTAAGAGAACTAAAGTTTAATCATTTTGTCCTTTCTTAATATTCTGATGTCTACAAATATCATTTGAAAATTTATAATATTAGAAAATAAGGTAAAGTAATATTCACAGCCATGTGGAAGATACTTGTAATTTGGACAAATGCATGTGTTTGTACAGATACTTGTTATACATGTTTCTACACTTGTGTGACAAACAGAATATGGAAGAAGTAATGGTGTGTTACTTCCAAGGTTAGGTGATAAAAGAGTGGTGTATGTGTGTACCTGTGTGCATGCGCACGTGTGTCTCAAGCAAATGTATGATAAAAGTATAATTAGGTAGTAGGGTAAAGTCTTTACAGATTTCTACTATAACAGAACATGTGTTTCTATATCACAAACTAATTCATAAGGTGTTGGTCAAGAGGGACGTGGTATAAATACAACCCAGAAGTTCCTTTGGTTAAACCCAAATTAACTGCTTTTGAAATAATCACGGGAAAGTGACTTAGCAATAAATGGAGTTTTAAAAATTGTTAGAAATCCACCAAAGTCCGTACCTTTGGAGTCAGTATGGAATGATACAGTGCTTTACATATCACTATGTTTCTGACAATATTAATATATCTAAAGAAGCTACAAATACCAAAAAGTCTCAAAGATTATTCTGAATACCAGATTTTTTTTGTTTTTTTTTTTTGAGACAGGGTCTCACTCTGTGGTTCAGGCTGGCTTTGAACTCACTATGTGGCCCAGGCTGGCCTCAAACTTGTGGTGATCCTCCTGCTGCAGCCTCCCAAATCCTGGGGTTACAGGTGTGCACCACCATGCCCAGTTTAAATACCAGATTTTAAATTTTGATGAAATTAATATCATTTGGGAATTCATATACTCAAAGATTTGTATCTTTTATCATAAATTGACTCTTTGCTTGTAAAAGTTTACAGGGTACACAGTGATATTATGACTTGTGAATACAGTGTAGAATAAGTAATCAAACAAGTTATAAACATATCTTTCATTTCACCAACATCTAAAGCATGAAAGCGAACCCTAGTATTTACACCTACAAAGAATCACCTGATTGTAGTGCTGGGCAAAAATGTTAGTGGAGACTTAATAGTGCTAATATTTATTGATTGAGGTCATTTTTTTTTACAGATTCTAGTTACAAAGTTGAATAGGTTTTTGAGTGGTTTGCCTCTACAAAGTGTTAGATATTTTGTCTCAGCAATGAGGAAAAGTAACTAAGACATATATATTTATTTTTGTTAAAAATGCCACAATAAAGTATGTGCATTTTTAAATATGTATGTGTATGTGTCTCTTTCAAAGATAGATGATGGAAAAATTTCTTCTTTTATCTGAAATTAAATTTGGAGCTAGAACAACTGCAAAAATTGAAAATATTTATATTTATTTATAGTACAGCAAAGGAAAAATATAATGAAAGGTGAAGATATCTTTGACATTAAAATCTATAGCACTTTATTAAGGGAAATTAAACAAGACAAATAAATTGAGGGTTACACCATATTCATGGATTGGAGGACTGAAGATTGTTATGATTTTATTTCTCCCCAATATTTTCTATAATTCATTTCAATTCCAAACAAATGTAAATATTTTTATAGTAGAAACTAAGAAGGTAATTAAAAAATCAATATGAAAAGATAAAGGATTAGTAATGGAGTTAGTCTCATAGATTTTTTTTTTACTTTTATTAGTACACATTTGCCATACATAATGATTATGTTCACTGTAGGGATTTGGTACATGTATATAACACATTTCAATTCTTTTCTTCCCACTTCTTATAACCGTTTTATTTTTCCAGTATCAGATTCATTTATTTATAAGAGCTTATGAAATTAATTATCATATATACAGATTGAAAACCAGACTACTATGTCAAAGACATATAAAATATGTACGACAATTGTACTAAGTCAAGGTACACTTTTAGAAACATTGTCTGCACTGGATTAAATTACCTTTTTTTCTATCATATATATATACATACATACATCTATCATATACATATATATATATAGAGAGAGAGAGAGAGAGAGAGAGAGTTTCATGTAAGAGGAACCCTGCCATATTTAAGCTTGTGTGTCTGAATTACTTCACTTAATATTATGGCCTCAAGGTGCATCCATTTTCCTACAAATGACTCAAGTTTATCCTCTTTTATGGCAGAGTGGTACTCCATTGTGTATAAACATGCATCTCGTTATCCATTCATCTTTTGATAGACACGTAGGCTCTTTCCAAGATTTAGCTATTCTGAGTTGCACTGCTATAAACATGGGTATGCATACATCACTATGGTATGATTATATACATAGTCCCTTCCCTTCCTTTGCCTTCCCTTCCCTTTGCTTTCCTTCCCTTCAATTTCTTTCCTGTCCCATTTTTCAATACTGAGGTTTAAACTCAAGGCCTCATGCATGCCAGGTTCATTATTCCAATCTGTATTTTCATTAGATTATAAGAATTATTAATGGGGAAAAAATAAGAACCAAGATACATCATGTAAAGGTACAAGTTCTCAATGAGAAATGTAAATGCATTGTATACCTAAAATGTACCAATAAAAGAATTTTTTAAAAACAATTATAAGAATTATTGGTAAGAAGGGGTTAATTTATTTTATCATTTGCTATGTCTTAATGTTTTCTTTGATACTTCTTGTGTTTTTCTTTCATGTTTAGTTGACTTTTGGTAGAGAAAGATTTAAATTTCTCCTCAGTTCCTTTTATATAGATGTATTATACATCTGTTTACTTTATGGTTACTATTATGATTACATTCAATGTCCTAAAATTAAAATACTCAAATTTGAAATTATGCCAGCTTAATAATATCAATAACATTCACAAATTCTCTACTCTAAAAGATTTGTTCCCATTTTGTTTTTTAGTGGAAAACAAAACATGGCATTATGTAACACTAACGTTTAGACTAAGAATTGTTCTTAAAATATATTTGTCTCAGGTTAAAAAAAAGAAACTGTTGGTACAGTAATACTGGCTTTAATAATTGCCCATGTATGGAGCTCTTTTGAGATCTTTACTTCATACAATTTTGGGTTACTGTCTGGTGTCTTTTCATGTCAATCAGCAGGACTTTCTTTAGCATTTCTTGCAGCCCTATTTACTCATAATGAATTTCCTCAGGTTTTTAAATCTGGGGATGTCTTAATTTTTCATTCACATTGAAGAACAGCTTTTCTGGATACAAGACTCATGGCTGACTTTCTTTCTTTTGAATATATCCTATCACTGCCTTCTGGTCTCCAAATTTCTGCTGACAAATTTGATTATAATCCTATTGAGAAGCCTTGCATGTAATAAATCACTTATCTTTTCCTACTAATGGGATTCTATTTTTGCCCCTGTCTTTTAAAAGTTTGATTGAAATATATCTCATTGTAGATATGTTTGAAATAATCAAACTTGGTATTCCTTGAGCTGTTTGGATGTTTATATCCATGTCTGCCATCAAATTTGAGAAGTTTTATGCCATTATTTGTCAAAAAGTGTTTTGCTCCCTTCTCCCTTGTTTCTCTTTCTGGAACTTCCAAAATGCCTATGTTTGTTTGCTTAATGTTATCTCAAAGGTACTGTTTTAGTCACTTTCCTGATATTGGAACAAAATAAATTGGGAAGGTGGGATATTGGGACAGATACAAAGACCAAAGACCAAGAACAACCTACATGCAGAAGACATCTCTGAGGAATAGACATTTCCTAGGGAAGTCTCAATACTAGTGATAAAGCTATCTTCCATAAAAAATTTGCAAGCATCAAAAAAGAAAACAAAATAAAATTTAAAAAATAGAAAATGACAAGACATAGAAGCAAAATGCAACCCTGGACCTCCAGCCCACCCAGGATAAACCCAGGGAACAATGAGATAGAGGAAATCAGAAGCCACTCACCTGAGTTTTCTGAAATGATAGTAGCAGAAGTAAAAAAACAACAAAAAACAAGAGAGAAATAGAGAAAATAATCTCTCAGGTAAAAAAAGAAATGACAGTTGAAATGAAGGACATGCTCAATGAATCTAGAGTAAACACAAAAAATAGATGAGCTTAGGAAAATGATGGAAACCATGAATGCAACTTAGGAAAGATGGAATTCAGGAAACAGATTTAAACAGGTATCTAGGAGATTAAAAATTCCATTGAGAGTATAAGCAACTGACTAAACAAAGTCAAGGACAGAATACCAGATCTGAAAGATAGGATTCTGGATAGTGACCATGGAAAGAAAAATATCTTAAAAATAGCGAGGGACCATGAAAAATCAATTCAACAGTTGCAAGATGATGAAAAGAAAAAAAAATCATAAGATTGATTTGAGTCAGTGAGAGAGCCAGAGACAGCTTAAACTCCATTAAAAATTATTCACAGAAGTAACGGCAGAAAACTTCCTAAACATGGAAAAAGAATTTGACAGATAAATAAGCGAGGCATCTAGAGTTCCAATTAGCCATGACCAAAATAAATCTACACCAAGACATATAATAATCACAATTCCAGAAATTCAGCACAAGAACAGAATATGAAAAACTGCTAGAGAAAAGAAAGAAGTCACCTATAAAGAAAAACCCATGAGAATCACAGCAGACTTCTCAACACAAACCCTTAAGTCAAGGAGAGCTTGGAATGAAGTAATTCAAGTCCTGAAAGAAAACAACTTCTAACCCAGATTGATGAACACTGCAAAACTATCTTTCAAAATTAACATAGAAATAAGATACTTCCATGACAAAGGACAACTGAAGAAATTCATGACCACCTAACCAGCTCCAGAAAATGTCTGAGGGAAGATCACAATTACAAGAATCCCAATAGGAAGAAGCCACCAGGAAGGGCAAGCAGAGGGGAAAGACAAGAAACCAACAGGGAAATAATATGACAAGGATAAGTCAATACATTTCAGTTATAACTATCAATGTAAATGGTCTC